GAAATAAATAAACCAAAGAGAAGGGCAAGTTCTCCCTTGGAGTAGAATTCTAACTAAAACATCTCAAAGAGTTACAGATATAGAAATCTCACATGTGGTGTTTATCACTGTCATGATTGATTCAGGTGGGAGGTGTAAGAGTCATGAACAGAACTCGTAAGCACAAGCTGCAGACTACAAAGATGGCCTGACATCTGTGACAATGTGCGCTTGTTGCTTCTCACTTTGAGTCTCTCAGAAGTCAGGGGCCTTCTACCTGGCAATGGAGTCAAAGAAATTTAAAAGAGAAAGACTGAGCTTGACGGCCACATGCCAGTGAGGCACTTCAGTAGCTGAGTGACCATGTGTGGGAGCTACACCACAGCTGCTGCTTCATTTCCCTTCTCTAGGTTACCCAGCAGAATCTCCTCTCTGGCCCGGTTAAGATGGAATATTCTAGAAAATGTAGTCCAGCATAACCAAATTGAAATACTACAACGTCATCATGATTAGGGTATAGGTTTGGACTTAGTGTATCTTCCCATAGAATACTTATCATACCCAAGGGGGAAATGGTGACTTGAAGGTTGAGAAGCCCAGTAGTCACCAGCCTGATGAGGATCATCGTCATGAGCCTCCTGATGCCCTGAGGAGTGTACTGCTTCAGTTCTGTGGTCATCCTAGGAAGACTATACCACCCTGTCTGGACCTGAGGAAACCCCGAGCAGCCCCATGTAAGGAACATCCCCTAGAATGATCCATCTATACTCTAAAACCAATAGTTATATAAAAGGCATGAAAAGGCTGAGAATTGTTTCAGATTAAAGGAGACTAATGAGACATCAGAACGGCATGCAAACGACTGAGCTTGGGTGATACGTGGCACCGACAGAGGAGATTTGGAGAAATGTGAATGGAGCCAAAGTGTGGGTTGTAGTGATGCATCAGTGTAGAGTCTCTCTTTTAGATGATTCCTTGGTGCTTGTGTTGCAGACTATCCTTGTTTTCAGAAATTACATGTAGGAATATTTAAGAAGGAAGGGGTATCATATCTGCAACTTTTCCATGTGTTGTTCAGAAAAGCAATAACAATAATGGAATACATGTTGTATATGTTTACAAAGAGAGACATGGGACGAATATAGTAAAAATGAACAATTGGGGATCCTAGGTAAAGGAGAATCAAGAGTTATTTATGCTGTTCTTATAAATATACTCTGCTTAAAACTGCTACAAAATAATTATAAAAAGTAGAGTGAATGGGAATTGATAATGAATAGGAAGAGGACAATAAATATTAGCAAGCATTTTCAAACATTTCTGTGAATTGAGAATCTGGACCCACTGAAAAGTGGGTCAAGACTGGTAAGATTTGGTGTGTCAAAGAAGGACTTTTTAAAAAGATGGTTTGATAGATTGTGTTTGTGTATTGATGAGAATGATACAAGGAATAGAAGTGGGCTCAGAAAGTAATTTCACGAGCAAAATCTTTGAGAAGGATCAAAGCCATGATGTCCATAAGACAAATAGGTAGATGGTCTCTGAGAGAAGCAGGGATGTTTGCTCTTTAAAACTGAAAGGAAGTAGTGAAAAGATATGGACTCTACTAGTTTTTAACTGAAGATGAAATACCTTCAAAAGCTGAAATGTCACTAGCCCTAATGCAAAGAATTAATCAGGAAAAACTATAAAGTAAAAATGAATTCTAGTTAATTTAAAAATCAAACCTATATGGATCCATGTCTAAGACTTTTAATTTATTCTGAGAAAGCTAAAACATGCAAGTGTATAAATCATGTCCTTCCATCTGATCTACAAACTCCTGGAGAATTTCATGCCTGGTCCAAGAAAGAAGCAAAATAGATAGTATGATGGAGATCCACACACTGTTCTTGGTCATTCATTCTCTGGCAGTGAGATAATTTATGAGTTGTGCCAATAAACTTGAATTGTATACCAAGAAAACATGCACAAAGGCCTATATGAGAAAGCAAGCCTGTCCCAAATCTTAGGCAATTTGAGAACAAGACAGGTCAAATTATTCAAAGGTTTGTTGACTTACAATGCTGGATCCATTCTTGATTTTTCAGAAAGCTGAAATAATGTGTGTGACTAAAAGAAGAGTTTGTAGGGAATTACACTTCAATGTCTCTTGTGCCTAATTCTTTAGACTTTATCAAAAGTTGTGATGGAATCCTGATCTTTTCCACAAGCATCTGACATGTAGTATGTGAAATGACTAGTATACAGGAATCAATTAGTATTATTTTTTTCATCAAATCATGGAATTTTATAGAAGTCCAAAAAATTGAGGTGGGCGTTTGTAGCATAATAGATAAAGCTGTGGCCTGCGACACCCACATCCCATATGGGTGCCAGTTCATGTCCTGGCTGCTACACTTCCAATCCAGCTCTAAGCTAATGGCATGGGAAAAGCAGTGGAAAAGCCAGATGGGGACCCAGATGAAGCTCTCGACTCTTGGTTTCAGCCAGGCTCAGTGCTGGCTGTTGTGGCCATCTGCGGAGTGAACCATAGATGGAAGATCTCTCTATGTCTCTCCCTCTCTCTCTTTAACTCTGACTTTCAAAATAAATAAATAAATCTTTAAAAAAAAAGTCCACGAAATTATCCTTCCAAAGAATTTATGAATTTCCCAATGTTTCTTCCCTATTTTAATCAATTTTTTGTATTTATGTTTCAGTTTCTATATATGCACTTCTGTGTATTCTGTTGATATTCTGTTTACAGATTTTTTGCTAATAAAATGAGGTGCTTCAACTTATTTCAAGTTTGTATATAACATTACCTCCACTTGCCTTGTGAATTACACAGAGGTGATTCCAATGGCCTTTAGTATCAATCTCAGCTGCATCAGTTGCTACATCCTTGACCTTGGAAAACACACACATATCTTCTCTAGCCTGAATTTTCCCAAATGTAAAATGCAAGCAAGTTTGCATCCTGTGATGCATTTAATGGGTGTGCATCTTCTATAACACAACTTCCCCCTGGAGTTCCACTAAGAATTTTAATTCTTCTGGGATTTCACTATGTAATTAGTTTAAATCATGTGTTTAAATGTATTGAAGCTTACTGTTAAAGCAGGAAGAAGTAAACTCTTAGGAAAGCAGGCACTCTTTGGAATTACCCAGTCAGTCCGGATTTCTCAAGGATTTTTCTAGTTATAATGATATTTAGTAAATTGTTAAGGGCTGGTCTTAGGACTTAATTCAGGATAAGATGAACCTGTGCTGTGGTGCTATACATTGGGAGACTATGTAGACTAAGTAATAACATAAACATGTAGTTCAAGAAGTTTCTAACAGAGTGTTCTCTGTGAGCCTTGACTCGTCATTATTGTTGTTACTTGTTCCCAATCATTTATTTTACTAAAAATCACACTATTTTTCTATAACCCACACAAATAATACATTTCATTTGGACAACAGAGTTTGGAAACTGAAAAAAAATATAAAATGTTCGTCCTTGAAAAATTTGACAAGGACACAGGGCTCCAAGTTAGGAAATGTCACTGAGCAACAACAGAACTCAGGTCTGGTTTCCTTCCTAATCCTTTCTAGTGCGCTTCTTAGTACAGTTACTTTGCTTTATTCCGAGACTTCTTAGAACCTGGTGCTTAGGACAGCCCCTGCTTACCTCATTTGAATTTGTGATAAGCCCAGCTCAATGCTTAGAGCAAAAAGTCACTCAACTGACAATTCATTCATTTCCTGCTTCTTCCACTCAAATACATCCTGTCACTGACAGAAATGTATGTATGTTTCCTGTGCTTATCATTTCTTTTTTTAAAAAGGTTGCAAATATTCATTTTTGTTATTTCGACCCAGTGTTAGAGTCCCATTTTTGCTTTGCTAAGTTTTTCTAATTTAATAGTTAAGTAATTTAACTTTTAGCCCATTAATTTGATTACTGTTTCTTTGTGTTTCCATGGGGCTCTAGAGACTTTGCATTTTGTGAAAGCCTGCCTGCACCCAGGGTTAAACCACTCCCTCTACTATCTGCAGTATGGATAGAGGCATTTGTCTGTATTAGAAACCACTCTGTGGTTTGCATTATTATAACTTCTCTATTAATCACTAGAGAATTTCTGGGGCTTTCAAACATACCGAAGCAACTGCCTTGGAAAAACAGTGTAAATTCAAATGAGCATCAATAGCTGGCCTTGCAAACCCTATTAGGACCATGCTAATGACAGGCAATTGAAGCACAATGAGACCTGACATGGGTCTCCATTTTAAAACTGTTTGCCGAGTTTCTTAAAACTTAAAAAAAAATCATTAAAATGGTCTGCAAGGCTACAAGATTCTAACGTAAACAAATGAAAGCTGATTCGTAAAAATTACTATTGATATGATCATATCATGGTTGTATTAAATTATTAATGGAGTAAGTGGGTTTAAAGACATTTCATTATTCACTCACTACTAACCTGACAGTTCTATTGCCTCCAAGTCAACTTCTGCTATGTGAGAACAACTTTGTGGTGTAGCCTCTAGCTTTTCCTCAAGTACCTGAGCTGTACTTGGTCATTCTGAAGTTGGAAGAGACTTGAAAAGATCTAGTGGCAACTTTCTGACTGGGAGTGATGCCTATAACCTTTGGAGATTTAGACAAGGGAAGACAAGGTATAACTTGTACCTACAGTGTCCACTGGACCATGGATGATTAATGATTTCAAGGAGAAAGGTGTCACAAAGTGATTATTTCCCCCTAGTCTGTCTTGGGATCTTCATGTTCGAATAGAACACACACAGCACATGGGAGGGAGTACTGCGTGAACCAAAATTACAAGATGGTTTATATGAAACTGATATAACTAATTAAAGTTTAGGTGAGCTGGAACTTTGCTATGTGTGCAAAATGATGCTGTCTCTTTAACTGTCTCTTTAACTCTTTAATGATTTGATACACCCACATTCCCAGGATGCTTCTGTCTTGTCTGGGACCAGAGTGCAAGTTAAGACCTCAGCTTGCTTGCATATTCAATTAGGGTACCATCCCCTCCCTTATAAAAACAGGTGGAGGATAGGTGAGAGCTCTCTTCCTGCCATGGATCTTGGCTCGAGGTACTGCTCCTGTTTTTGGTCTTGCCACTGAGCACCGGTCTCGGATGGACCTTCCCAGCCACAGGTATCGTTTTCGGTTTTTCTTTTCCATCATTTATGGGCAATTTTTGACCCACTCATGTTGGGTACTTCTCAGTCTGTGGGGCACTGAACACTCACAGATGAATGTGCGTTTATTCTCTCATTGACAAATAAACTCTGTCCTATTTGTACATAATATCAGTCTATGTTTAATAGTAGTAGTTCCACCTCTGCAGGTGGGAAGAATATGGATTAAAAATTAACATATCCATTGCCCACATCAAAACTAGAAGAGCTTCATTTTCCATGTAGCTTTTCTAACGAAGCTTTTGGGGTTAGACTTCCTATGAATGGCCAGTAATCATTAAGGCCAAATTAATCCACAACTTAAATAAATGCTGACATTGAGTAGTTTCTAGATTTTTCTGGTTGTAAAAGTCTGGAAGAGTTCATGGAAGCGTAGTTTTCTCATATATTTGATAGCCCTATTTTGCTAATTCCTAGTACTATCTTTAATCTTCCTTAATTTACCTTCTTGGTCAATTTAGCAACTTTCTGTTTCTTCATCTCTCTGTATTTATGAGGTTTTGTGAATTTAGTGTGTTGATGCTATATGATACTTCTGGAAATGTTGAGGATATACCAATGAGCCTGCCCCTGCCGAAATGCAAGTAGCACTCTCGTGAAGATAGCAAACAAGTAAACCAGTGATCACAACAGTGTGGTATGAGCAAGAGCGTTGGAGGTATGGGAGCACAAAAAAAGAAAAACTCAACCTCAATTCAGGAAGGTCAGAATGACTTTTCAGAGAGGTGCTGTATAAAACCAGACCTAAATACTTCCTAGATTTTTTAAGTGAGCATTGAAGTAAGAACACAGGCATGTCTGCAAAATATACAAGATTGTTATTTCACACTTATTTTTCTTTTGCATTCATGTTTATTGGTTAGATTGAATTACCATATCCATTCATTTATCCTGGGAGATGGGAAGCACAGTTGATCTGTTTGCCACTTAATAACAGATTCCTCAAACTGAAATATGAGTCAAGACAGGAAAAATGTGTGTCAGCTTACATTCCAGATATGAAGAGTCTTTCTCTTAGTTTCCATTTCTTATAGTTCAAGAGTAGCTTGACGTGAGCAGGCTGGTTTAAATGAGATATTCTTAGGGTGTAGTAATATAAAGCATCAAACCATAATTTCCTATAATTGTCCCTTCTATTCTGTGCCTGATGATAGAGTAGAAAGAACTTTGACTCATTCCATTGGAACAGCAATTTATTTAAAATAATCAACTTTGGGCAAATTGCATAAACTCTGTAGACACTGTTTCTTTCATTCATAATATGCAAAAATGTAAATATTTGTATTGTAAGGAATTTTTGTAATTATGTTAGCTCTCAAAAACAGAAATGCAAGTAGTAAGTACTCAAAAAATTTTAATTATTAGTAGTAGCATTAGCATTATGTCATGAATATGTTTCAGAAGTATAGCCAAATTCTCTCCAGCCCTTTTTGATTATATGTCACAGAAGTTATGCAAAATAAAATAAAATTTAGTATATATATATATTAAACTTACCTAGACATTACATATATTTTGTACTCATATATTTCTTAGATTCAAAAACATACATTAAAAACCACATTGAAATTTAAATGGAAAAGTATCTGAGTTAACAGTGAGAGAGAGACAAAGGTCTCCCTACTTTTCTCTCTGTCTGTCTCTCTCACTGTCCACTCTGCCTGTCAAAAAAAAAAAAAAAAAAAAGAAAGGTCTTCCTTCCGTTGGTTCATTCCCCTAGTGGCCACCACACAGAGATTTACACAGAGAGCTGGCGCTGCGCTGATCCAAAGCTAGGAGCCAGGTGCTTCCTCCTGGTCTCCCATGCGGGTGCAGGGCCCAAGCACTTGGGCCATCCTCCACTGCCTTCCCGGGCCACAGCAGAGAGCTGGACTGGAAGAGGAGCAACTGGGACTAGGACCGGGGGTGCCAGTGCTGCAGGCAGAGGATCAGCCAGGTGAGCCATGGCGCCGGCCCAAAAGTTTGACTTTTTCTACATAGTTTCTTCTCTGATAGCAAACACTGGGCATGGAATGCTGAATTAATTGTGGGCCACAGTTTCCAAGCACCGACCACTGTACTGAAGGAATAGTTGCTAGTTATTTAAAAAGCACTTAGTATTGCCTAACCGATGGTCAGCGACTATCTGTACAATGAATGAGTGAATAACTATATCTTTGGCTCTTAGAGTATGCTTATGTTGTATATTTCTTAAGTCTCATTCATACTACTTTGCAGTAGTGAGGTTGGGTAAACCCTGTTATTGCCCTTCCTTGGGCTGGATTTTTTTTTAATTCTTTTCAAGAAATTAAGTAGCAAGTTTAGGCCACCACATGACAGAGACAGCAGAAATGGGCCATGGAATGTTCACAGATGCTCTCCTCATTGTGGATAATGTCCAAATAAAGTTTGGATGTTACCAGCACTGCTGTCACTCCTCTGTCTGGTGGTGGTAAATGTAAGTCCATGTGAGGATACTGGGCTCCAGAGATGTGGGAGCCATTGGTGCATGGCCCCTGGTAATGATGCTCTGCTGGTCTCTGCTCTTACAGCTAAGCCCAAGTCCCTCTAGACTAACTTTTCCAAAGGGAGGATGTTGTAAGCCTTTTTATTCCACCCCTGTAGCAAGATATTTGTGTGTGTGTGTGAGAGAGAGAGAGAGGCAATGAGACTGAGAGACACTCATTCTTCTTGGGGTAACTATGAGCATACCTTAAAGAAAAAGCACACTGACCTTGATTATCATATTTATTTCACCAACAATTTCACAATAAATTCCTTTTCTCTCTTGTCCTCAGACGGAAAATAAAAAGCTTTATGGGAGGTGGCAGATTACTTCTGCACACTTTTCATCAGGGCCACATGTAGCTCCTCATCATTATAGTGACCTCTTCATTTTTAAAGAAGTTATCTGCCCACCATAGACCCTATATACATTAGAGGAAGGAGCGCAATAATCCTAGTGAAATCTGCCCCTCAGAACAGGGGAGCATGAGTATTACACAGCTGTCACTAATCTATAGTGAATACGTGCTCCTAGTGGATGAGATCAGCAAGGACGCCCTGCCTCTGCAGGTGGAGTCAGTTGTTTTGTCAGTAATACTCCCTTCACCTGGGCCGGCCCCGCGGCTCACTAGGCTAATCCTCCGCCTAGCGGCGCCGGCACACCGGGTTCTAGTCCCGGTCGGGGCGCCGGATTCTGTCCCGGTTGCCCCTCTTCCAGGCCAGCCCTCTGCTGTGGCCAGGGAGTGCAGTGGAGGATGGCCCAGGTGCTTGGGTCCTGCACCCCATGGGAGACCAGGAAAAGCACCTGGCTCCTGGCTCCTGCCATCAGATCAGCGCGGTGCGCCGGCCGCAGCGTGCCAGCTGCGGCGGCCATTGGAGGGTGAACCAACGGCAAAAGGAAGACCTTTCTCTCTGTCTCTCTCTCTCACTGAAAAAATAAAATAAAAATACTCCCTTCACCTGCTGTAACCACGCTTATGAGTTGTACTCCATGAGTATCTTTTTTTTTTTTTTAAGATTTACACAGAGAGCAGGAGGCAGAGAGAGAGAGAGAGAGAGAGAGAGAGGTCTTCCATCTGCTGGGTTACTCCCCAGATGGCCGCAATGGTCAGAGCAGCACCAATCTGAAGCCAGGAGCCAGGAGCCAGGAGCCAGGAGCTTCTTCTGGGTCTCCCACGTGGTTGCAGGGGCCCAAGGACTTGTGCCATCTTTTACTGCTTTCCCAGGCCATAAAGAGAGCTGGATTGGAAGTGGAGCAGCTGGGACTTGAACTGGCACCCATATGGGATGCTGGCGTTTCAGGCCAGGGTGTTAACCCACTGCATTGTAGCGCTGGCCCCCATGAGTATCTTCTCTGCAGTGCAGATCAGGTTCATGGCTTCTAGGGGAGGAGCAGTTTTTATAGCTTGATGTCTTTCACTGTATATCTGAGATTGTATGGGAGGATGTGTGTTGGGGGGAGGGCTGAAGAGTCTTATATTTGAACAAAAGCTATTGTTGGCATGTCAGGTCAGGGCTTCTTCGGAAAGAAAGTTCTCTCAGGGAGCCAGCATTGTGGTGCAAGTGGGGTAAGCTGCTTTTTGCAACACTAGAATCCCAAATGGTAGTACCGGTTCGAATCCTGGATGCTCTGCTTCAATCCAGCGTACTGCTAATGTGCCTGGGAAGACAGCAGAAAATGGCCCAAATACCTGGGCTATTGCCAACCATGTGGGAGACCGAGATGGAGTTTCTGGCTCCTATCCTTGGAATGGCCCTGAATCTGCCATTGCAGTCATTTGGGGGATGAACCAGCAGATGAATGATTCTGTCTCTCTCTCTCTCTCACTCTACATTTCAAGTAAATACATACTTCTATAATAAAAAGAATTCCTTTAGACACTTCCTAGAATTTCCAACTGTGGTGGTTAATTTTAGATGTCACGTTGACTGCATTGCAGAAACCTGGTAAAGCATTTATTGAGAGTGAATCTCTGAGGGTGGTTCCAGGGTTACTGTGGGAGTTTAAGTGTACTAGGTGGGAAAGATCTGCCCTCAAAGTGGGCAGGTATCATCCAGTCAGCCAGGGACCTGGGGAGAGTAAATATAGAAAGTGAATTGGTGTATTCTCTGAGATTTGCATTGATTGTTTTTCTTCTGCCTTGACCATCAGAATCGCAGGCTTTCCAGGGTTTGGATGCCAGGAATCCTCGGGACTCTCAGGCTTTCTGCCTTGGACTGAGGGTCACTCTGCCAGCTTCCCTGGTTCTGAGGCATTTTACTTGGAACAGAGCCACACTTTTAGCCACCAGGATCCCCAGTCTACAGTGATTCTTCAGCTGCCATAAAGACATGAACTAAGGCCCATGATAAATCTCCTCTTATACCAGAGTACTTTAAAGAGCTAGTGGACAAATGGAATTAGAAGCCATTTATTGGCCAGCGCCACGGCTTACTTGGCTAATCCTCCGCCTGCGGCACGGGCACCCCGGG